GAGCTGCATCTTTTGCTGTTAGTTTTCTTGTATTACCAAACTGCATTTCAGTGACATCCACTTCTCTCATCAGATGCTTAACTCTACTGAGACAAGAACCTAGTTTGGGTGATTTATACTTTTCTATGACCATTTCATTATAAATCTTGGGTATGTTAGAAAACTGTTGGGCTATTGATGCAGCCATTAGTTTGCTATTCATTAAACCTCAAGGTCTAAAAAGACGAATCCCATAACCTGAGTATGTGAGAAACAGAGACAGAATTATTGTGAATTTTATTTAATTTTTTCTTTTTTGGTTTTGTTGTATTTTTGTTTTTGTTTTGAGATTGGGTTTCTCTAATGTACCCCTGACTGACCTAGAACTCACTCTGTAGACCAGGATGGCCTCAAACTCAGAAATCCACCTGCCTCTACCTCCTGCGTGCTGGGTTTAAAGGTGTGTACAACCACCACTTGACTGATTATTATTTGGGGCCACTCTGGGCTATATAGTGAGTTCTAGGCCAGTCTGAGCTAGATAGCAAGACCTTGCCTTAAAAGTCAATCAATCGCCCACCCAGAGACTGCTAGCATCCAAGTCCCATTCTCCACCCACGGGACAGACCAGCATAACTTCCGATGCACTGTGCAGAACCACCGGAGACCTGGGGACTGCACACTGATCTTTGACAAAGAAGCTAAAATTATACAATGGATAAAAGAAAGCATCTTCGACAAATGGTGCTGGCATAACTGGATGCTGGCATGTAGAAGAGTGCAGATAGATCCATGTCTTTCACCATGCACAAAACTTAAATCCAAATGGATCAAAGACCTCAACATAAAACCAGCCACACTGAACCTGTTAGAGGAGAAAGTGGGAGGTACCCTTGAACGAATTGGTACAGGAGACTGCTTCCTAACCATAACTCCAGTAGCACAGACACTGAGATCCACAATTAATAAATGGGACCTGCTGAAACTGAGAAGCTTCTGTAATGCAAAGGACACAGTCAGCAAGACAAAAAGGCAACACACAGATTGGGAAAAAATATTCACCAACCCCACATCAGACAGAGGGCTGATCTCCAAAATTTACAAAGAACTCAAGAAGCAAGTCTCCAAATCGCCAAAAGATCCAATTAAAAGGTGGTGTACCCAGAGAAGTGGAATGAGGCAAGATCGTCTGAGCAGATTGGGAACATCGGGGGGAGGGGAGAGGGAACCAGGAAAAAGAGAGGGGGATAGGAGGGGAGAAGAAGGGGAAAAGAAGGCATGGGGGAGCAGGAAGGTTGAGTCGAGGTAAGAATAGAGGATAGCAGGATGAGAGATACCATAATAGATCGAGTCATTATAGGCTTGAGGAGAGAGCTGACACTAGTGAGATCTCCAGAGATCTACAAGTATAACATCAACTGGCAAACTAAGCAATAGTGGAGAGACTACATTAATATCCCCTCCCTGGTGATAAGGTTGGTGACTACCCTATATGCCATCCTAGAACCTTCACCCAGTGATTGATGGAAGCAGAGACAGATACCCACAGCTAAACACTGAACTGAACTTCTGGAACCTAGTGACAGAGATGGAGCAGTGATGAGCAAAGGGGTCAAGACCATGATGATGAAACCCACAAAGACAGCTGACCAGATAAGGAGGAGCACTTGAATCCCAGACTGATGGCTGAGAGGCCAACAGGGGACTGATCCAGACTCCATGAATGTAATGTCAGGGAGGAGGCCACAGAAATCACTGGGGCCTTGGGTAGTAGATCAGTGTTTACTATGGCATATGAATGAACTTTGGGAGCCTATTCCAAATAGAGGGATGCTCTCTCAGCCTGGTCACATAAGGAAGGGCCTAGGTCCTGCCCTGGATAAAATGATAGACTTTAGAGATCCCCCCCAAGGAGGTCCTCACCCTCCTGGGGGAATGATGTGGGGATGGGGTAGGGGCAGAGGGGGCTGGTGGAGGAACAAGGAAAGAGGGGTGCGAGAGGGAGCTGGGATTGACATGTGAAGCATTCATGTTTCTAATTTAAATAAAAACATATTGAGGGAAAAAAGTGGGGGTACAGAATGAAATAGAGACTTCTTAATACAGGAGTCTAAAATGGCTGAGAGACACTTAAGAAAGTCTTCAACATCCCTAACCATCCAGGAAATGCAAATCAAAACAACTCTGAGATACCATCTTACTCCTGTTAGAATGGTTAAAATCAAAAACTCCAATGACAGTTTATGCTGAAGAGGATGTGGAGAAAGGGGAACACTCCTCCACTGCTGGTAGGAGTGCCAACTTGTACAGCCACTTTGGAAATCAATATGGAGATTCCTCAGGAAAATGGGAATCAATCTACCACAAGTCCCCGCAATTCCACTCTTAGGCATATACCCAAAAGATGCCCATTCATACAACAAGGACATCTGTTCCATTATGTTCATAGCAGCATTATTTGTAATAGTCAGAACCTGGAAGCAACCTAGATGCCCCTCAACTGAAGAGTGGATAGAGAAAGTGTGGTACATTTACACAATGGAGCACTATTCAGCGTAAAACAATGGAATCTTGAAATTTGCAGGCAAATGGACAGTACTAGAAGAAACTATTCTGAGTGAGGTAACCCAGTCACAAAAAGAGAAACATGGATCTTAGACATGAATCAGGGGAGTGCCAGCCTACAATCCCAGTGCCAGTGAGTCTGGGAAACAGAACCTTCATCCAGCAACTGATGGAAGCAGAGGCAGACACCCACAGCTAAACACTGAACTGAACTCCTGGAATCCAGTATCAGAAAGGGAGAACTGATGAGCAAAGGGGTTAAGAGTGGGCTGGTTTAACCCACAGAAACAGTTGACCTGAACAAGGGAGAGCTCTTGGACCCCAGACTGATGGCTGGGTGGACAGCATGGGACTGATCCAGACCCCCTGAATATGGGTGTCAGTGAGGAGGCCTAGGTAATCTATGGGGTCTTGGGTAGTATTTATCCCTGGCACACAAATGGGATTTGGCTACCTATCCCACAATGAGGGAGGCTCTCTCAGCCTAGACTCTTGGGGGAGGGCCTAAGCCCTGCCCTGGATGAAAGGACAGACTCTGGAGATCCTCCATGGAGGGCCTCACTCTACCTGAGGATCAGAGTGGAGATTGGGAGGGTGAGGCCCTCCCTGGGGAGTGGAGGGAGCATGGGTGGTGGGTTGGTGGGGTTGGTGGGGGACGGGAGAGGAGGGGAGGGTGAGAGGGCTGGGATTGACATGTCAAGCAAGCTTGTGTCTAATTTAAATAAAGTTTTTAAAAATGGGGAAAAGAAAGAAAGAAAAGAGGGCCCTGGAGACACAGGGTCAGATCTAAAGGCACCATGCTGAGACACAGGGTCAGATCTAAAGGCACCATGCTGAGACACAGGGTCAGATCTAAAGGCACCATGCTGAGACACAGGGTCAGATCTAAGGGCACCATGCTGAGACACAGGGTCAGATCTAAGGGCACCATGCTGAGACACAGGGTCAGATCTAAGGGCACCATGCTGAGACACAGGGTCAGATCTAAGGGCACCATGCTGAGACACAGGGTCAGATCTAAGGGCACCATGCTGAGACACAGGGTCAGATCTAAGGGCACCATGCTGAGACACAGGGTCAGATCTAAGGGCACCATGCTGAGACACAGGGTCAGATCTAAGGGCACCATGCTGAGACACAGGGTCAGATCTAAGGGCACCATGCTGAGACACAGGGTCAGATCTAAGGGCACCATGCTGAGACACAGGGTCAGATCTAAGGGCACCATGCTGAGACACAGGGTCAGATCTAAGGGCACCATGCTGAGACACAGGGTCAGATCTAAGGGCACCATGCTGAGACACAGGGTCAGATCTAAGGGCACCATGCTGAGACACAGGGTCAGATCTAAGGGCACCATGCTGAGACACAGGGTCAGATCTAAGGGCACCATGCTGAGACACAGGGTCAGATCTAAGGGCACCATGCTGAGACACAGGGTCAGATCTAAGGGCACCATGCTGAGACACAGGGTCAGATCTAAGGGCACCATGCTGAGACACAGGGTCAGATCTAAGGGCACCATGCTGAGACACAGGGTCAGATCTAAGGGCACCATGCTGAGACACAGGGTCAGATCTAAGGGCACCATGCTGAGACACAGGGTCAGATCTAAGGGCACCATGCTGAGACACAGGGTCAGATCTAAGGGCACCATGCTGAGACACAGGGTCAGATCTAAGGGCACCATGCTGAGACACAGGGTCAGATCTAAGGGCACCATGCTGAGACACAGGGTCAGATCTAAGGGCACCATGCTGAGACACAGGGTCAGATCTAAGGGCACCATGCTGAGACACAGGGTCAGATCTAAGGGCACCATGCTGAGACACAGGGTCAGATCTAAGGGCACCATGCTGAGACACAGGGTCAGATCTAAGGGCACCATGCTGAGACACAGGGTCAGATCTAAGGGCACCATGCTGAGACACAGGGTCAGATCTAAGGGCACCATGCTGAGACACAGGGTCAGATCTAAGGGCACCATGCTGAGACACAGGGTCAGATCTAAGGGCACCATGCTGAGACACAGGGTCAGATCTAAGGGCACCATGCTGAGACACAGGGTCAGATCTAAGGGCACCATGCTGAGACCTGGCCACGTCAGTCTTCTGCTCAGAAGCTTTGTTTTCTCCATCAGACACAGCTCCATCATGGCTGTTTTGTTTTGTTTTCTCTACATGCAGAGATCATCGCTTCTACAAATCTTATAATTCTTTTGGAGGATGAAATCTTTGCTGATTTTTTCAACACATTTCTATCTCTCCCGGTAAGCATTCTCAGTCCTGAATCCAAATAATCCATCAATGTGTGTAAGTGACTGTTTTATTAATTTATTTTTCAAATCGAGAATTTTTTCTGTTTTTAAATTTATTATATTTAGTGTGTGTGTGTGTGTGTCTGTGTGTGTGTGTGTGTGTGTGTCTCGAATGTAAACACCATGTGTGTAGATCAAA